TATTACGGACACCTCGCTATTACGGACACCTTGCTATTACGGACACCCTGATATTACGGACACCTCGCTATTACGGACAGGAGAAAAATCCCCGGTAAAAATGATGACAAAGAAATGACCGTAATTAATTCTCGTTATTGCGGACGCTCGCTATTACGGACGTCAAGTGACGGTCCCAAGGGTGTCCGCTGTAAAGAGGGTTGACTGTAATAAGGTAGCCGCCATATGATGAGAAAAAAATCACAACCAGGAACAATTGTTTAACTCCGATAGATACAAAATACCATTTTCGGCGAGGACACTCGTGAATTTTATTCAATCTTATTATCTTATTTGATTCCAGGGTATCGTGTGGGAGAGAGTCGCTACCTGGAATAAGTCCATTGGTATCGAGAAACTACCCCAAAAAAATATCATTTGGCCAGGAAACACGCGTATACCACCAACAGACAAAGGTCTTCCTGGAAAAACCACCTTTAGGATTGGCTTCTTAGCACCAACCCTCCCAGAACTAGGAGTGCTGGCCCAGTTGGGTAAAGAATTCCAGGCAGCGCTCAACGTAGCCGTGGACATGATGAATAAAGATTTATCTCTGTCGGTTGATTTTGACGTAAAAGTACAAAAGGTTGGCAAGGATCCTGCGACTGATTGTAAGATTGCTGCCGGTCGGTTGGCTAACGATGGTGTTGTTGCTGTAATTGGTGCCTACAGATCTGACTGTTCAGCGGCAGCCGCTAAAGTTTTTGGTGAGTCCTATAATATGATTAAATATGCTTGTTTTGTGGGGGTGAAAAAACGGCTGTGAAATAGAGACTTCTATTTGGTTTTGCAGCTTTTTCTTTAATCGCTTTCTCTTTCTCTTTACTCCATCCCTCCTTTCCTCCTTCCTACTTTCTTGCTTACTTGTTTCCCTGCTTGCTTCCTTCGTTATTCTTCCTTCCTTCGTTGCTTGCTTGCTTTCTTTTCTTTTGGCATATTTGTCAACTTGCTTGTTTTTTTATCATTATTTTATACATTCTTTCTTTCTTTTTCTGACTATTCTTCTCAAATGACACACAAACTTGTATATCCTCGGGTTTTGACCATGCCAATCACTCTAACATACATTCTTATCATTAATTACTAATGTAACTCCATTCTTGTCATCGCATAGGTTCCAGCAGCCATCGAGTCCCACAAGTATCCTTTGGTTCAACATCTTCAAGACTCTCCGACAAAACAAAATACAAGTACTTCTTCCGCACAAGCTCATCAGATGCCAACCAAGCTCGTGCTCTTGCCGCCCTCTTTCGCAAATACCGCTGGCCAGAAGTAGGCATATTGTCCACCTCGGACGCATATGGAGGCGATCTGGCTGATGATTTCAAGAAGGAAGTGGAAGGAATGCCAGATGTCCCTGTTACTGTTGCGTCGACGCAAGAGTTTCCTATTAACGGACGCGCTAACGTTGTGAGGCCCAAGGTTGACAAGGTATGATGGTGATGTGTTGACGTTTATTGCAATAATTATGATAGCAATGATGTTGATAACAATGGTGATGGTGATGGTGATGATGATGGTGCTAGTGGTAATGATGTTGGTGATGGATGGTGGTGATGATGTTGATGATGATTGTGGTGGTGATGATGATAATGATGATGACGATGACGATGATGATAGTAATGATGCTAGTTTACCATTATTTATACTATCTATTGACCTTAAATCCAGTTGAAAACCGCGGGCACCAAAGTCAACCTTATCTCCATGGTACGGAACGATGCAGAAACAGTTTTCCAGCAGATCAGAGAACTGGGGATGACTGGTAAGGGATGGGTGTGGCTAGCAAGCGACGGAGCAACAACATCTACCTTCGACAAGCAGAAGGATCTTCAGAGAGCAATGAAAGGCATGTTGGGCGTACAACCAAAGAATGGTGCGGGAAGTCTGTATTATCGATTTCTTGCTGCGTGGATGGACGGGAGCCAGGGTGTCTATCCTGGAAGACCGGTATGTTGACTGAAATACACATCTCTTTTCATCCTCTTGAGTATTATTTATTTCCTTACAAGTCTCATTAATTTATATTTATGATTATTTGATATATTGATCTATGCCGTTTAACGGCAGCCATGTTGTAGGACAGGAACACTAGTAAAATGTTGGGTCGGTGTCCACTGGTAGAACGAAGCTTGGGATTGGGCAACATAACAAAAACAAAGAAAGCATGGTTATGGTGAACAATGTGTATTGTTCTACATGTGAGCTGCGTTCTTTGTTTTATCTCACCATTCATTATTTTTGTTTGTTCATCCACTCCCAGGCTTCGTTCTGCCTGTTGTGTGTTACCCAAAATGTTGTCCTTCAAAATGGCGGCTATCGAATCCCTCTTTAGGACGAACATAACACAAGTTGTGCCCTTAAGTATTATTTCTTTCTTTTTTTCGAGCCTTACAAGATAAATTAATAAAGAATAATACTTTATTACAGAACCAAAGCCCCACCACATCTCTTTACCTCCCCTTGAGTATTATTTCTTTCCTTCTTGATCAAGCCTTACAACATAAAT